TCTATCCTCAGCCTGCCCCTGTATCCACGGGCAGTGTGATAACCGTCCGGATTCAGACGGTCGGTGTAAAGTGGACTCGTGTCAGCAGGGTTACACCGGTCCTTTGTGTGATCGACAGACGGCCGCCTGCGGTGCTCAGGCTCAGTTTTGCCACGCACATGCTGACTGTGACTTCAGCCAGGGAACAGTCAAGTGAGTTTACCTGGAGTCTTTAACCCTGAGTCAGACGTCTGTAGTGAACAGTTATCTCGTTGTACCACACATTATTCTGTACTGTGTCTTATTTTAGGTGTATTTGTAAAACTGGTTTCCAAGGTGATGGCATCACCTGTGTGGCGTCTGACCCGTGTGCTCCACCCCACCGAGGTGGCTGCAGCCTGAACGTAAGCCTCCAGTTTTTATAATGTAACTGTAAAAAAACGCAGTCTGTTTCCTCACTGCTGCCCGTGCTGCATTTTGCCCCTTGCAGGCTAAATGTATAAAGACAGGCCCTGGGACTCACGTCTGTCAGTGTCTGACTGGATGGAGTGAGGATGGGGATGAGTGTCAACCAATCAACAACTGCAACAGTCCTGACAGAGGCGGCTGCCACCCCAACGCCACCTGTGTCTATGTGGGACCCGGACAGGTAAGGACACTGATATCAGCTGAGACGTGAATAGTGGAGATGTCACTGACGGATGGTTTATCTCATTAATGTGCTCTTACCCTGGGAATGCACCACTTCAGTCCGTCCTTAGGGTGGCAGTAAGGAGTGCAGTATTTTTAAAACATGAGAGGGCCAGAAAATGTGAATCCTGAAATGTGGTTGATTATTCAAACTTACACTGGCTTTTTTAAACTGGGGCCGTGCGGACCTCGGAGGGAATATTTCTTTTATCTCTGTTGTTTAACACGTTGTCGGTCAGTTTGTTCTTAATGATGTCACATCATTGTTTTTGGGAACCCCCCAGTCAAAAGCACCCAATTTTGTTTGTTTCAATAAATGGAACTATTTATTCAGTTAATGTTTGCCACGTGGCAGTTTGTTAGTCTCAGGATCTTGCTGCCTCCTTTTGCAGATGATGTGGTTCTGTCAGCTTTATTGGCCTTCTGTAAAGATCTGGCACCTCTAATTCTGAGCCCATGGTTCATGGTTCCTCAGAAAAAGGTGGGGTGCCCATTTCAGACTGGAATTTTGTCCTGCTAGACCTCAGTGGAGTGTTCAATACTGTTGATCATAATATTCTAGAGCGACTAGAGCATGCTGTAGGTGTTACAGGTACTGTGCTGCAGTGGTTTGTATCATATCTCTCTGATAGACTCCAGTTTGTTCATGTAAATGGAGAGTCCTCTTCACACACTAAGATTAATTATGAAGTTCCACAGGGTTCTGTGCTAAGATCAATTCTGTTTACATTATACATGCCGCCTTTAGGCAGTATCATCAGAAGTGATTTGTGATCTGGTCCACCAGCACCAAAGAGTGAAGCTGTCTCCGCAGCAGTAATGTCCTGTTGTCATCTGCTCCTGTTCAGAGTGACTGCACCTGTAAGGCCGGTTACCAGGGCAGCGGGCAGGACTGTGAACCTGTGAACCAGTGTGTGACTGCAGACGGAGGCTGTCACTACTTTGTGAGTAGCAAAAACCAAGCAAATCCACTGAAAGCATCTTTTCTGCTAAAATTATTATGGGTCACACCAACAGCAACATAAAACAAAAGGTCTTTTACTTTGATGTCATTTGCCTGCAGCGCTGTGATCACGGTGTCAAAGCCAGATTTTACTCCTTTACCTATATCTTCAGTTTGACCCTACCTGGTCAAACTGGTCTGTAGATTCACTCCTAGTAACTAAACCAACCAATCATTGTTCCTCAGAGCCAATCAGAGGCTCTGCAGAGCTTCACTGAATTCCTTTAATTTTTTCAAAGTAAAAGACGTCTTGTGTATAATGTCTGTCTTGTACTGATAAAAATGACCGAAGCTAGGCCCTCGGTGACCGTGTCCCTGTTTAACTGTTTGTGTGTGCAGGCCAGCTGTCTCCTGCTGTCCTCTCAGTGGACGTGTGTCTGCGATGAAGGATATGTTGGAAATGGACACGTGTGTTACGGTACAGTTGAACAGGTGAGTGGTGGCCAGATTCAGTCGGCAGGATCGTGTCTTTGCTTCCAGCTGACTTTGTTTCCTGGTGATTTCAGGAGCTCAGTGTCCTGCCTGAGGCCTCAGACTTCTTCACATGGATGACTGTGAGTATGTCACGTTTTACAGATGCATTATGTGCAGATTGTCATCACTTTGATTATTATACAGTAAATGAAACGTGCAGTATATCACAAACTAACTCACACGTTTAGCACATGCTTCACATGCAGACTAGGCACCGTAATTATGCCACCCAATTAGAACCCAAAACCCAATTAGAGCACATAAATATGGGTACAGAAAAATTATACATTTATGAATACTGTTAGCAATGTTAGGCTCACACTGTGGGGGTTATCGGTTCGTGCCACCGTGCTTCATTTTTGATTAACCCTGCGGTTTACAAGACTGACTTCCCCTGTGGTCTTTCATGTATCAGCAGCTATGCTTGAATACCAACCTGAGCAAAGTTTGTGTTTGTGATCATACGCTCTGTTAGGATTCGGATCTGTCTCCGTCTCTGTCGGATCAGAACCTCACCCTCCTGGTTCCATCCTCAGCAGCCATCAGCAAAATGTCCTCAGAAGACAAAAACTTCTGGACGTTGAGGGGAAACCTGCCGAGTCTCATCAGGTTACAGCTCCGCAGGATTTAAAGTGACATCATTTTATTTTGGGGCTTTTATATGAATATATGTAACAGCTGTGCTGTGAACTGTCCCCTTCTGACAGAAATCACATGATCGCCGGTGACTACCCCTTATCTAGCCTCTGGAACATGTCGTCTGTGACGTCCCTTCTGGGAACAACACTTCGTGTTTCTACAAACGACGAGGTAACGCTTTCTGTGTGAGGATTTCTGCACACATCAGAGATAATTTTGATCTTTCATTGAGCCCATGCAGCTCAGGTGTTTCACATAAACTCCACACGGCCATCGCTGCTCGTCCTCAGGCTGATCTAACTGCCTTTTGGCTGGCTCTCATCTTTCTGATGTTCTGTCAAATGCTTATAAAGTTACAGGTTGTTAAAATATCCTTATTATCTGGTATCAGGCACATAAATGTATAATCTCTGTGAGCCAAAATATTGTTCTAAAAAAGCACTGCTGCCCTTCAGTATGCCTCCAGAAGCTGGCCAATCAGAATGAAATAGGCCATCTTAAAGGAACATAAGCTATAGCTTGTTGTTTCAAGCAAAGGATGAACTGAGGAGCTGAGCAGACGGCCAGTACAAAAAAATGTTTGGACTGAATCATGTGAGCATACTTGAGTGGAGTCCCAGAATAAAAATGTGGACTTTCGTCCACTTTCAGTATATGGCTGTAAACTTGGTGCTTTTCTCTAATTTTACTTAAAAAAATAAAATAAAGTGGTTGTGTTTGTGCAGATCACTTCTGTTGGTGGAGCTCTCATCGGCACTTCAAACGTTGCTGCTACAAATGGACTGATCCATTTCATCGATAAGGTAAAAAGAAAAAAGAAATACTACAAAAACAACACCCAGCAAGTTTTTTTGTACCTGTTACCGATTTCAGCCTTTTTTTTTTTTTAAGGTTTTGGTTCCCGACAGAACACTGAGTGAAGGTCTGCTGGCCACGCTCGCTCTCAGGCCGGAGTTCTCACTCTTCAGATCGTATCTCATCGTACGACCTCTCAAACACGCTCACACCATGCTTAAATGTTCAATGTTTCCTTACATGTTGTGCTTTCTCTGGCTTTTTGTTTAGGATTATAACCTGACCAATGATATCGAACAGGCTGACGAATTCACCATCTTTGCTCCGACAGACGCCGCCGTCACTGAGTATCTGAAGAAAATGGCAGCCACTGCCCTGGTATACAATTTAGGCTTCAGTTTGTCTGCGTTTTCATTTGAAGCTGAATCAAAAAGTTTGTATTTGACCTGATTAGTCTTTTTACTCACTGCTGACATTGTTGAAATTTTTACACATTTTAAAATGGATTAAGTGGGCAACACTCAGTTCTGTTATTTCATTCGACATTTAAAGCAGATGGTAAATATAGAACTAAACTCTGTAATTAAAGACTTTGACCCTGTCCTTGGGTTTATTTATTTACTTCCTTCAAATTAGTCGTGCTTTTATTTTGTCACTGAACAGGATGTGAAGACGACTTGTTACCACGTGGTGGCATCGCAGCGCCTGTTAAAAACAGACCTTCAGCTCGGAGGTTACAAAGAGACGATGCTTGGGTTTTCCTTCCAGCTCGGCATTTTCCCACGAGACGGAAAGGTCTCATCATGAAATATTGATTCTGTCGCATCTGATCGCATGACTGTCTAAACAACACGATACAAACCACCTGACCTGTGTTTTCCTCATGCAGCTGTTTGTGAATGATGCTCCGATGAACTCCTCTGACATCCTGAGCGGTAAAGGAGTGATCCACGGTCTGTCAGCTGTTCTTCAGATCAACAGAAATCGCTGTGATGATCTCACGTACACAAAAGTCATGGTAAGGTCCTCAGCCACCAGTTATGTCCTGCAGATACTTCAGCGCCTCCAATTCAGTTCAATGAATGGAGAAACAATCGCATGATGAATATCAACGTTTTCTTTCTGCTCCAAAGGGGAACTGTGTCGACTGCTTATTCCACCAAAACAAGATCTGCCCCAATGACACCATCCCAGATGTAAGTTTTCTGACTTTTTCTGATCATCGTTAATCTTTCAAAGCTTAGACATGAACACTTTTTAACCACCAGGCTCTCTAAACAAACCTTTATACCAAACTAGAATCGGATAAATGCAGCTAATAAAAAAAATCTGTTTGTTTGCAGATGATTAGACTTTATGCTTAAGTAAGTTATGAAAGATGGAAAATTCTCCCCAAACTCAAAAGAATTACGCACAGTTTGTCCGACTTTACAAGACTAACAAGAAGTAGGAGAAGATATAGAGAGGACTTTATGGCATTCCACTAAAGTAATTTCATGACCTCCCAGTGATCACTGACCACTTTGCTGTATGTGCTCTTGTGCCAGTTACAGATTGGTATCATTTAGTTGTATTTCATATCGAATTTGACATCTTCAAAAATAAACCAGCGTTTATTCGATGGAGCGTAAAAATGTTTTTCTTTTGTAATTTAGGTGAACTGAAATGAAGAGTTTTATTTTCACTGCTCTATCGCTTCACGCGGATAACTGGTTATACTGTGTAGATATTTTCTTGAAACATGCGTTGTAGAAAATGCTGAAATTAATACTCAGCTCAGATGCACAGCCTGGTCCATGAGAAGCTAAAGTCAAAGTAAGAAGTTGGTGTTTTGCTCTGTGCAGAAATCGGTGAGGAGGACGAGAAAGTGCATGTTCACCCGCACGTTTGAGGGCGAGTGGCTGCCGAGAGTCGGCTGCAGAGCCACCTGCCTCCAGAAGAAGATCGTACGTCTCCTGCTCATTTCAGGGTAAGCATCCTCGGCAGCGTGGCACACTAGAACTCTTCTGTGCTTTCAGGAGCGGAGGTGCTGTGCGGGGTTTTTCGGGGAGCACTGCGAGGCATGCCCCGGTCCAAAGGGTCGGCCCTGCTTCGGTAATGGAGTGTGTGTGGACGGGACGAACGGGACCGGAGTGTGTCGGTGTAACGAAGGCTTCAACGGGACCGCCTGTGAAACCTGCCAGAGCGGCAAATACGGAGTCCACTGTGACCAAGGTTCAGTACGTTTCATTAGTCAGCACATCATCTGTCATCTTCATCCTCATCTTCATCCTCACCTTCATCGTCACGTGTTGTCTGCTCAGAGTGCGAATGCAAGAACGGACAGTGTAACGAGGGACTGAAGGGCGATGGGTCCTGCGAATGTGACGTGGACTGGAGGGGAGTCCACTGTGACCAAAGTAAGGCTGAATGTAGAGAAAAGTGAACGCTGTGATTTAGAACAACAAAATCTCATTTATGAGATAATTTTTAGAAATACTGTTTTTGTCATTTGTGCTGAGCTGCATCCGTGTCGTTGCAGAGATCGAAGCCAAAGCTGACGAGCAGTGCGGCTCGGTGAGATGCCACGGCAGTGCAAAGTAAGTCTGCACAAGTTTAACCGTTACTCTGCGTGCAGGACGCTGGAGGATTTATGCTTCCTGTTAAAACTTTAATCTGGTTTTATAGCTGTGTGACCGGCTCGTCCGGCCCTCAGTGTATCTGTGCTGCCGGCTTCAAAGGAAACGGGACTTTCTGTCAAGGTAACACATGTTATGAGCTCTGCAGGTCATTTACCTGCAGCTTTGGTCTGAGCTTGTTAAAGAGGATTCCTGTGAACCGCAAAGTTTGCTGAACACTTTGTGACTCATGCAGCCATAGATCCGTGCGTGGTGGATAACGGTGGCTGCAGTCTGTACGCTCTCTGTAAGAGGACTCGACCCGGCCGAAGAGACTGTGTCTGTAACGCCGGCTACGCGGGCGACGGACTTGTGTGTGTCGGTAAACTCACTTGCCACAACTGCTCACACCTGCTCACAGCTGCTCTGGCTTAGTTATAGTTGGTACAAGGAGTCAAAACGATTTTTAAAGAAGGAAAATTTAATTATTCTGAGTCAACATTAACTTGTTCAGATCAGTTTATATTAATTTTTTTTTTTTTTTTTAAAAAGCGAAAATTAGCTAAGAGGAAATCACACTGAGGATTACAGGGGACATGAAAGAGTGCAAAATACAATCGTGAAAGTTAAAGCAAAAGTATTGACAATAAATCTAGTAATACTAGAAGGATGTGCTATACTTTGTAGTGTAATGGTCTGACTATGGTGGACAAAGTCTGCAGCAATGCAAAACTTAAAAAGCATTTTGTGAAAGTTCAGCGAAATTAAAGCAAAAATACCAATGCAAAATATTCCAGATGTTAGTTCTTCCAGCATCACAGCAAAAAAGGATTCCAGACAATCAGAAAAGCCTCCAGAGCCAGCAAAATGACTGAAATTAAGTAGCTCTGTTGATTTGCGTGGTTTGTGGTATTGTTGTGCTGTGAGGAATTTAAAAGCTCTGGCTCAGCATCGATCCTTGGCAGCAGCTCAAGTTATCAGACACGCGATAAAAAGCTTGAACTCATCGTGAATCCGAGATAAACAGGTGGAGTTTTGTGTTTCTCCACAGAGATAAATCCCTGCCTGAAAGGAAACGGGGGTTGCCATGCCAATGCAGACTGCATTCACGTTGGACCGAACAAAGTAAAACTAGCTAACCTCTACAGTCTGACTTTAAGCACAGCTCTCTGCTGACGGTAGCACTAAATGTGACTTTGTTTTCCTCGGCAGACTTCCTGTGTCTGCAGGGAATTTTACACCGGTGACGGGAAGAACTGCAACATCATCGACTTGTGCCGAAAGGTGAGTTTGTCTTCACTCTGGCTGGTTTCAAGCTGTGGGAAAGATGAGTGATTCAGAATCAGATGATTACATCATTCAGCTAATAATCACACATACAGCCCATAGTAGCACCAAATCACAGCAGCACTCATCTTGGTGCACTTTCCCTGTAAGAAAACACCAACATATGCAAGACTGTGAGGCAAGAGTTACACCCATAAGTCCTATTGTGAAGGAGGAAGCTTGTTAGGCTGCTCTATTCAGTGTTCCCAGGACAATAATAATGTCCTTGCCTCCTTTAGCACAGGAACTGTGGTAGTCGTGTTTTCAGTCAGTGCTCTGGCTCTGGTAAGGCTCACCTGGCTGAGCTGGTGACCCAGGTATGCTGCAGAACAGCAGCATACAGCCACCTGTCTGCTGTCCTGTCAAGACAGCAAAAACAACCCTGAAAGCTGTCTGAGGCTGATGTGCTGAGGTTGAGCGTTGCACATACAGTTCTAGGTTTTCATGCTGCTCCTGTCTCTGTCAAAGGTTTCTTACTTTTATGCTGTAAAGACCACATCAATTCAAGCTGTTACCCTCTGATGTGTTGATGCTGATGTTCCAGAACAATGGCGGCTGTCATCGGAATGCCCGGTGCAACATGACAGGTCCAGGCACTCAAAGCTGCACCTGCAGGCAAAATTTCATCGGCGACGGTGTGACCTGCAAAGGCACTGTGACGCGGGTGAGCAGCTGCAATACAATGAAAGCGGCGCCACAGGGCTTTGCACTAACTGTTGTCTCGTTACAGGAAATAGAGAGCCATCGACACACGGACTTTTACTTTGGTCTGATGGTGAGTAGTGCTCCCCTCTGTCGCTCCCTGCTGGTGGAATTGCATTAACAGAACTCTGTTTTCAGATAATGGAGATTTCCCTGAATGGGCGAGGGCCATTCACTGTCTTCATTCCAGACCCCGAGGCCTTCAGGACAAACACTTCACGCGAGGTCAGACCTTTGGTTACTGCTGGACAAACATCAGCGTGTCTTTGAAGACACACTCTAATTACATCAGAGTCTGGTCAGCTCAGGATGAATCAGAAATTAACAAGTTTGTATTTTTATCTTTTAGATGAGACGGAAGAGAGAGCGGTACGCTAATGTCCTGCGCAGCCACATCGTCATGTGTCACACTCTCCTGGCTGCTGACCTGAGCCAACCACGAAACCTGACATCGCTGTCTGGACTCGTGCTGACCACCAGCATCACCCAGGTCAGCCCTCAGCTGGTTTAATAGATTTATGTCTATATTTATGAATCCTGCCAATAAACAAAGGCCGAATCGATGCTTTATTATAAACGAGCATTCTTCAGTTTTATTTCTGTTATTGGGACACTTTGTGTTTGGCTTTTTTTTTTCAGGGCAGTGTCTTCATCAACCAGGCAAATGTGACAAAGAGCGATGACCTCAGTGTGAATGGAATCATCCATGAAATCGACAGGATTCTGTATCCTCCAGATGTGGACAAAGACAGTTTTATGCTCGCCCCTGTAAGTATCCATCAGGTCATTTTGGAATAACGAATCAGGGAAGCTGATGCTGAATGGATGGACTGGTTAGAGCTTTATTACCATATAAAACAATGACCATTGTTACTGAATTATAAAATGATCACTGAATGCTTTACTGTTACAGTGACATGTTAATTGATAATGTTTACCAGCTGTCTATTATTTCATGTTTATGAACATGACCTGTTTAATTACTGTTTAAATAACATGTAAAATGCTAAATATATTCTAAAATCTATTTATTGGTATAATATCATTTTTTTTCTAGCTCATTGAAACTGTGAGCAGCTGTCTGACTGTAGACTTTCTGGATGTAATGTTTCATGCACACCTTCATTCTGATGGTTTCCTGCAGGATGACTCTCAGCTGAACCTGACCGATGTGGCTGCACGTCACGGTTATCGAACCTTCTACAAACTGCTACAGGTAACACGCTACAACTTCCCCTTCTTCCTTCTCACGGACAACAAGAGCTGCTTATAGAGAATTAGCTGGTTGTGTGTGTTTTTACTCTAATATTGTATTGTAATATTGCACTTTAAGGTGACTGTTGTTCTGAAGTGGTGCACCAATAACATATATTACAGCCAAAGTGCTTAAACCAATATATCAATGTTAACAGAGCAAAAGAAGTGTGTCACTGTTGTTCACTTAGTCCGATCATTGCTCAAACATGTGGAGCACAACAATACTATAACTTCTACCAGCAAAGCTCATGTTAAAATGAGATACTACACAACAACAAGCAGCATTAACACAACATTTAGACAAGCTGCACAATGACATCACTTCCTCTGGGTTTTATAACAAACGAACACCTAGACTACAACATCAGGACACACATGCAAACTCCCTCACACACATATAATAATAATAATAATAATAATAATAATAATAATAAT